ACAGATATTTTAGGCATATTTTTGACGTGGAATATGTTTTTTTTTATGGTTAAATAAGATGTTAAATGTTCTTGGATTTGAAAAGCGGCTGTTATAATTTACATTTCCAATAGATTTCGTGCTGAGGGACTGCTCTGAGGTGTTGTGTGATGTGGAAGGTGATAGAGATATGTTTGGTCATGATTGCAGAAATGCAAATGCTCCTCAGGAGAACACTTTGAAATGAAGCATTTCCGTTTCACAAACCTCTGGTGCCCATCTGCAGTGGAGTCTCACCCACTTCTCAGGACAGAAAGCAATGCAGAGTATCTGCTCATCCTCACTGAGCTCTATTCTTCTTGTTTATTTGGCCGACCTATCCCCTCGTTAAGATTCACGGGAGAAGGACAGGGTGGGCTGGCTACACATGGAATTTCTGCAGTTTATGTACCATGCTAGGTGCACTTTTAAGGCCATATGAAATGTCAAAGGGCCCTCTGGCAGATCACGGAACAGACCCAGGTGCCATGGATTGACTTAGATGACTGGCAGACTCACCACCTGTGCTCCCCACTGTGCCACATCGCTGCATTTTATCTGGCCTGCTCTCCGCTGGTTATTGTGAGCGTTGCTTCTCTGCCCTTTGTTGCTGGAGGGTGACTGCCTCTAAAGTGTCAAGGAGCGTCCTTCATGAACCTCCTCCATAGGAGCCCATTTTGACACCTCTGGAACCAGTCATTGGCAAGTCCACTCAGCTCCATTGGTGACTTGGTCTGAAATAAATCACCAGAGAGGCAAGACTCCAGACACTGAAGTATACGTGATGAAGGGGCGTAAACCGCTATTTGCTTGAGTTGCAATACCTTCACCAGGATCATACACCCCTAGTCTTGTTCATACACCAGAAGCAACAACAACAACTGCCATTCGCCACTAAGTGGCGGTGACGTCACCAAGATGCTTATGCCAGGCTAGGGGAGGCAGCTTTTCGGATTGTATGGTTCGAGTATCCGTTCATCCTGAGGGCTTGGTGTACGTGCTCCAACTCACTAACTAGGTGGTGCTGGTCTGAGATGCAACGGGCCCAATGGTGTAGTGTTTTGATGAGAGACAACCTTCTGAGGATCCAACCAAAACCATAACTTTACCATACATAGCAGAGGTTACCAAAAGGATTTCCAAAATCTAAAACAAACACAAGATCCAGGCTTGTTTCAACAAATTCTAGATTTGAAGCTTTCGTGACTGCAAGGATTCATACTCTTTGGTTTTTTCAGTAAAGTCACGTAGGTAAAAAAATAATCAAATAAACGAAAACAACTAAATAAAATCACGATGTTTCGGGCGCAACACAAGCGTCCGTCATCAGGTGGGGACAATCAGCGAAGACATTTGGTGAGATATGTCAAAGAGATCGCTCTAACACGGGTTTATATAGCTGAGGAGGGTGGGGGGAAACGAGGACAGGGTGGGTATGGGGACGGGGCGTGGGCTGGGGTAGTAATTCCCAAAGATGTGGATACAGCTCAAGTCCCACAGGTGGCGGGGGGTAAGTGGGAGAGAGTGGAATCGGACAAAGTACTACACGATTGGAAAGCTGCTTCTCAAATTTCCTAGTGATGTGCAGGGCTGGGAGTAAAAGACTGGTGATGTGGATATGAACATAAACTGTTAAGGCAGCTAAGGTTTAACTTGGTTAATAACATATTTCCAATGATTGCTCAATTGGAATCTATCTTCTCGGTTGAAGGTATGTCTATGTTTGTATATCTGGATGGCCTCATGGACAAACCTTTGGTGGTATCCAGACGGCTTGCAGAGCACCTTGGTCTCAGAAAAGAAAATATCATGAGAACCCACTGTGTTGAAACAATGATCAGCCACGGCCGAATAATTCGTTCTGCCGTGTTTCAAATCTGATTTGTGTTCGCGAATTCGGTCAGAAATATGTCGTTTCGCCTCCCCGATATAGCAGTCACCACAGGTACAACTGAATTTGTAAACACCGGGGTACTGTAAGTCAGGAATGACATCCTTTACGGATGAGATCAAATCACGGATTTTGTGTACTGTATTGAACCGGACCTGGATCTTGTGTTTGTTTAGAATTTTGGAAATATATTTGGTAACGCCTGCTGTGTATGATGTGATGATTTTGATCGGAGTTTCAGGTGGTTGTTTCTGTATGGTGGGAGAAACAGCTTGACGGATAGTACGGTCAGAGTATCCGTTCATCTTGAGGGCCAGATGTATATTTTTAATTCACTGGCCAGGTGGTGTTTGTCAGAGATGGAATGAGCCCGATGGTATAGTGTTTTAATGAGGGAATTCTTTTCTTTTTTTACCTATGTGACTTTATCGAAAAAAAAAACAAAGCGTATTAATCCTTTAATCATGAAAGCTTCAAATCTAAAATTAATGCACTCTACGGGGAGGAATTTCACTTATCTGTTAGAGTTTTTAACAGACAACGAGAAAAGAAGTCACAGCTCATCGAGACGCTTACCTTCCTCAAGAGATGCTGCCATAACAAGGTAATACCCATCGCTTCCACACTCACATTGCTACTGTATCTTCACCGAACTCTAAACGGATTTTGTTTAAAACTAGCCTATCACTAATCTCAGAGAGAATAAGATTAATTCTAGATTTGAAGCTTTCGTGACTGCAAGAATTCATACTCTTTGCTTTTTTTCGGGAAAATCACGTAGGTAAAACAAAATTAAAATGAAAGAAAACAACTAAATCAAATCACAACGTTTCGGAGGCAACACAAGCTTCCGTCTTCAGGTGGAACAGTCACAGCAAGATAGCTGCATCAAGTTGTGAGCTCTGAGACCCTTGAGCTTATATACAGGTTAAGGTGGGGGGGAGGAGCCAAGCAAGGAGCGATGACAGCGTGCGGGGCTAAGGTTAAGGTGGAGGGGAGGAGCCAAGCAAGGAGCGATGACAGCGTGCGGGGCTAAGGTTAAGGTGGGGGGGAGGAGCCAAGCAAGGAGCGACGACGGCGTGCGGGGCTAAGGTTAAGGTGAGGGGGGGGAGCCAAGCAGAGAGTGACGACGGCGTGCGGGGCTAAGTTAATCCGTCTTTTGTTATGTTGAGGGTTCGGGGGAAGCGGTGGTTCACTGCCCAGGGGCAATTAAAAAAATGGTAAAAAAAGGCTGTGCGCTAATAAGGTAGGTAAAGTTTTGACTTGGTTCATGACATCTTTCCAGTGGTTGCTTAATTTTAAACCATCCTCTCGGTTGAAGTTGTGTCTATGTTTGTATATCTGGATGGCTTCATGGACAAATCTTTGGTAATAACCGGGAGGTTTACATAGCACTCTGGTATCGGAGAAAACAATGTCATGAGAACCCACTGTGTTGAGACAATGATCAGTCACGGCCGAAGAATTTGTTCTGCCGTGTTTCAAATCTGATTTGTGCTCGCGAATTCGGTCAGAAGCAATAAAATACTCCGATTAGAACTCGATAGTTTAGACAGGACTCTCCTACAATCACATTTCATGTTAACACAAAAAATGTCCCCTTCTGATTGGAACCACGTTGACAACATGACTGCTGCCTCTGCTGATTCACTGTCAGTCAAATGCAAAGCTAACCTGATCGCTAAATTCAACCTCCTATCAAAGAAGATGCCAGAACCACACATCACAAAACTGGATGTTAACAAAATCGTTATTAATCAGAGTAACATCCCGATTTCGGAAAATCTGAAAACGGTACTGGCTAAAGGGCTAAATTTCACTGTTACTCCTAAACATATACCAGTGGAGGATGTGATCTCTCAGGTCGATGTAGCCCTCAAAGGCATAGGACACATCCAAGCGGACGTTGCGAGAGCTATTCTCAAGAATGCTAAGAAACCCACTAGCAACATTAGCAAAAATGAACGCTCTGAACTTACGAATTTGAAATAGAGGGATGATATAGTCATCCTCTCGGCATACAAGGGCAATGCTACTGTTATCATGGATAAAAAACTCATACAACAACAAAATCCAGGACCTACTCAATGATGGTAGTTACTCCAAAATTAAAAGTAATCCTACTAACAGCCTAACGACAAAAACCAGCAAGATCATCACTATATTCTTGGTTCTTTCGGTAAAGTCACGTAGAAGGGAAACAATAAAATAATAAAAATACAAAACCTGATGATGATTTTCACACCTGATGATGATTGCTTGTGTTGCAGTCGAAACGTCGTCAGGTTTTCACACCTGATGATGATTGCTTGTGTTGCAGTCGAAACGCCGTGAGAATTTTATTGTTTTATATTTTTATTATTTTATTGTTTCCCTTCTACGTGATTTTACCGAAAGAACCAAGAATATGAATCCCTGCAGTCACGAAAGCTTAAATCAAGATCATCACTAGTTCGACTTCCCTAATCGAACCAACTAAACGTCCCTCCCTAAAACCCTCGGCTGCAAGACCTCCCAGATTCTATGGTCTTCCCAAGATCCATAAAGAAGGTACCCCACTACGGCCCATCATGTCTACGATCAACTATCCTACCAACAAGCTAGCCCGTTTTTTTATCGGATACTCTGCTTCCGATCACTGGCAAGATCACCTCAGCAGTCCTTAACTCAACCCAATTGGTTTCTATGGTCAAGGACATTGTACTCTCTCTGGACGACATCCTCATCAGCTTTGATGTGGTCTCTCTGTTCACCAAGGTCCCAGTGCCTGACATCTTAACAATAATTGCAGACTTGGTCCAACATGGACTGATCCCGGATGTACCTGCGCTCGTGAGGCACTGCCTCACCAACACTTACTTTATCTGGAATGATACCCTCTATAAACAAAATGAGGGTACCCCTATGGGTTCCCCCTTGTCACCAGTGATAGCCAATGTTTTCATGGAGAAGTTTGAATCAGACGGCATCCAGACATCCACCCTTCGTCCTTCCCTGTGGAAGAGATATGTGGATGACACTTTAGTCATTTGGCCACATGGCCTACCAAGTCCCGGGCGAAGCCGGGTAGTACAGCTAGTACCTAATAAATTAAACTGAAACCTTCTGTTTCAGCAGAACCAATTTTCGCGAATTAGTGTAAACTTTTATTATTCCATTAACTTCAAAGGCCCGGGGTGACGTTGTATGTTCAGTCTGCTTGGTCGCTTCCGATTTCCATTCCAGAAAAACAAATACCACTGGCGGCTCATCAACTTAATTTACACATTAATTATGTCGCAGGGTTATTATGTGCGGATCTGCTGCCATGCCCAATCACTCCATATATGGGCACGTTTCGTTAGCATAATTTATTCCTACACATTTCCGTTGACTTGCTGGGAGGCGGTGGGTGCTAGTGACGTCATGTCATCTCCGCCGCGCGCTAACGTATGACGTCACGAGATCGCAGGCGCTGCTTCTGTGCGCGCAACTCGCTAGGATCGGAGGTGAGAAGTTCACATCGTGATGTTGGTTGTTGTTGTTGTTCACCCAGGTACAGCCTCGCTTCTTCCCTCCCTCTCTCTCTCGTAGCGATATTAATTGAGTTGCGGCAAGTATGGAATCGATGTCCAGGTTGGAACGTTACTACGTGGGGCCGAGCCATGCAGGCCTTGCCTCCTGCCCTTGCCTGACTGACTTTGCTTTGATTCTCCTAAGTTTAATTTGTCTTCATCTGGCTGACTACTTCACCTCTCAGAGTCTCCATACTCTATTTCAGGATCATCGAGTTTTTGTTTTGGCATTCGGGGGAGGGGGAGGGCGGCGATGCTTCTGCGCGTATTCCCGATTGAGTAATCTGCAGGCCGCTTGTCAGCACTGGAATATTCGGACGATACCAGTCCAGACGTTTAATTTTAGTCGGAATGAGACGTCAAAGCATTACACAATTACACTCGCCCACCAACACGCTCCCATTCGAACACTTAAACACTCACCCACTGTTAGCGAGCATCTATGAAGGCCGGCACGGCACACGAAGGGGTGGGTGACCAGCACCACCCCCGGACTGCCTTTGTCTCCCGAGTGGCGATGTTTACACACCGCACCAGGTACTCATTTGAGGCCGAGTTGACCTAGGGGAGGCCTATGACCAGTTCGGATATTTGTCACTCGTGTTGGCTTTGAGGGGAAATCGACCCCGGGTTGCCGGGTTCATAGCACAGTGCTCTAACCGATACGCTACCGCCCACCCACAACAACAACAACCCCCATTCGCCACTAAGTGGCGGTGACATCACCACGACGCTTGTGCCAGGCCATGTGCACCTTGAGGCCACGTGAAGTGTCGAACGCCCGCGGGCAGGAGGTCACGGGGCAGACCCAGGTGCCACGGGTCGACTGACTGAGATGACTGGCTGGTGCACCACCTGTGCCCCCTACTGTGCCAACCTGCTGTGCTTTAGCCACCCGGCGCTCCGCTCGTTGTAGTGAGCGTCACTCCTCCGCCCTCCGTTGTTGTTGCAGGGCGACTGCCTCCAACTGCCCAATAGCGTCCTTCACGAGCCTCCTCCACAGAGGACGATCTTGACACCGCTGGTACCAGTCATCGGCAAGTCCACTCAGTTCCACGTCCTCCTGTACCACATCACTCCATCTCTTCTCTAGCCCATGCCGCGCCCGTTTAGCTCCCTCAATCCGGGCGAACAAAAGCTGTTTCGGCATGCGGTGGCTGGGCATGCGGGCTACATGACCCAGCCAATGCAGCCTTGCCTGCCGGAGGAGCTCACCGATGGGACCTTGCCCAGATCTTTCGAGGATTTGTGAGCTCCTCACACAATCCAGCCTGGTTAAACCCAGGATGGATCGTAGGCAGGCCAGCCTAAATGTTTCCAACCGGCGAAGCTGCTCCATTATGGGGGTCCACGTTTCACAAGCGTAGAGAAGGGAGGGAATGACCGTGGCCGAAAAGACCTGAAGCTTAGTGCGGAGCAACAGACCAGGTAGCTTCCACACAGCGTTACGCAACCGATGAAAAGATATTGCCCGTCGACTGATTCGGAGTGAGACCTCTGCTGTTAAACTGGAGCCAGTCATAAGCACACTGCCCAGGTATGGGAAACTCTCCACTCTCTCCACAACTGCCCCATCACCGATTGGGAGTTGTGTTAGTGGCACGCTCCAGTCTCAGCAGCAGCATCTCCAACTCCTCCTCTGAATGAGTAGCTATTACCAAATCATCGGCATACATAACGTGGTTGAGCAATAGGGAGCCATCCCTTGACCGCACCCGGGCATCGACCAGCCTCCCATTATATCTGTGCCAAATGAAGATTCCCCCGGTACAGCTATTGAAGGCTTAATGAACTACGTGGTCAAAATAAATGTTAAATAATGTGGGAGCCAGAGGACATCCCTGTGGCACCCCAAGGTGTACAGGGAATTGTTCTGACTCCCGTCCACGTAGTTTTACCCGGGCCCGCTCAAACACTCGCCCACGCACACAAAAAGACAAAGTTTAAATAGGTGAGTTTTCAAGACGGACTTAATTATATCTTTCGACTCTGTCTTACTAATCAGGATGACTGCTTCATTTGACCAGAGTGGTGAACCTGGAATGCTGGATTGGTGACGTTTGCACGGCAGTGGGTTCAGCCTGCTTGGACAGTGCTTGGGCAAAACCTTCCCTGTCACTGAGTGAGGAGGCAGACTGACCAGTGGCTTCCAAGTCAGTGTGAGTGCCCTTGCCCTTTACACCCAATGCTCACTTCGCGCTCCTCCAGATGCATTGTTCCTGGAGAATTGAGCGCCAATCGATCAGCGCTGTAAGGTATCATCATAAACCCATTGTATACTACATAGGGATGTGTTCCTGACAATGTTATATCTTTAGTATGAATAATATGAGGGCTTCATTTGGGTATCGCTAATAGCGCTAATAATAATACAGATGCTAAACATTTAATAAAAATAATTATTTATAACATCAGTATTACGTACTATACTTACGAGTGCATTCTACTTTACTAATCCTACAAGTCAGTGGAGGGAGACAAAGTTGAAGGAGCTGCTGCGCTTCCAGTCCGGTTCATTCTCAGAGAAAGGCATCAGGACCTCCCTGATCTTAGTGAAGCCCTCAATCTAAATTTGTGTGGCGAGGTTTTTTTAGGTGGAGCCTGATACTCTATCCTGGTCGTTTGAGTTCTCAACTGACTAAACAAGTAAATGTTTTTTAAAATATAATCATTACCACGAATCGTGATAATTAAATCGCAGGGGGTGGGGTTTGGTTGGCTGAGAGCATGCGTCACTCTCATTGGCCGGGTGAACATTGGGGCCGGGTACGTTTGCTTGGCTAGCGCTGCTGCGTGGTCTCACTCGTGAGCACTTTGTAAACTTAAAAAAAATACGAACAGAAATATCCAGGACAAAGAGCACTATAACAAATCGACACTCTAAGGGTCGCACTAACCGAGTTCTGCCTGTATATTGTGTGTAATATGTATGTGTCTGCAGAATCAATCGCATGAAGAAGAGAGGCTCGGCAAAGGCTGGAAGTAAAAGGCACCAATGCATCCAGTGTCCATATAGCACAGATCAGATGGGTAACTTGAAGAGACATCAAACAAAACACACAGGAGAGAAGTCCTTCAAGTGCAGTGTATGTGGTAAGGCATTTGCAGAATCCATTTTTCTTAAGAAACATAATAGAACACATGCGGGCGAGAAGCCCTTCAAGTGCACTGTGTGTGGCAAGACACTTGCTCTTTTAGAAACTCTTCAAATTCATCAGAGAACACACACTGGTGAGAAGCCCTTCAAGTGCACTGTGTGTGGGAAGTCATTTGCTCAATTAAAAACTCTTCATATTCATCAGAGATTACACACAGGCGGGGAACCCTTCAAGTGCAGTGTATGTGGTAAGGCATTTGCCGTGTCAGCATATCTTAAGAAACATATTAAAACACACATCGGCGAGAAGCCCTTCAAGTGCACTATGTGTGGCAAGACATTTGCTCGTTCAGAAGCTCTTCATATTCATCAGAGAACACACACCGGTGAGAAGCCCTTCAAGTGCACTGTGTGTGGGAAGGCATTTGCTCAATCATTAACTCTTCATATTCATCAGAGAACACACACCGGTGAGAAGCCCTTCAAGTGCACTGTGTGTGGAAAGTCATTTGCTCATTCAAACACTCTTCAAATTCATCAGAGAACACACACAGGCGAGAGGTCCTTCAAGTGCAGTGTATGTGATAAGGCATTTGCAGAGTCAGCATACCTTAAGAAACATATTAGAATACACACCGGCGAGAAGCCCTTCAAGTGCACTGTGTGTGGCAAAACATTTGCTCGTTCAGAAACTCTTCATATTCATCAGAGAACACACACCGGTGAGAAGCCCTTCAAGTGCACTGTGTGTGGGAAGACATTTGCCCGTTCAAAAACTCTTCATTTTCATCAAAGTACACACACCGGCGAGAAGCCCTTCAAGTGCACTGTGTGTGGGAAGGCATTTGCTCGTTCAGAAACTCTTCATATTCATCAAAGTACACACATGGGTGAGAAGCTCTTCAAGTGCACTGTGTGTGGGAAGGCACTTGCTCATTCAAGCACTCTTCAAATGCATCAGAGAAGACACAGAGGCGAGAGGTCCTTCAAGTGCTGTGTATGTGGTAAGGCATTTGCAGAGTCGGCATATCTTAAGAAACATAATAGAACACACACGGGCGAGAAGCCCTTCAAGTGCACTGTGTGTGGCAAGACATTTGCTCGTTCAGAAACTCTTCATATTCATCAGAGAACACACACGGGCGAGAAGCCCTTCAAGTGCACTGTGTGTGGTAAGGGATTTGCAGAGTCAGAAATTCTTAAGAAACATAATAGAACACACACGGGTGAGAAGCCCTTCAAGTGCACTGTGTGTGGGAAGGAGTTTACATTATCAGGAAACCTGAAGAGGCATGAGAAAATCCACAAGGAGAAAGTGAAATCGACTCGTGAAAGTCAACATGCTGCAATGAGCCCATCTCTCATGAAACGAGAATCAGAAGAAAATTCCCACTTGGGAACACGGCCAGGAGTGACAGTGAAATGTGAAGACGTTAAATGTGAAGAAGTGACGGTGAAATTTGAAGATTCGACTCCAGGACCCAATCTACAAGTGGATGGAGGCAGCGTGAAGCAGGAGGAGCATTCCGATTCTGAAGGAGAGCGAGGCAATCCCCAGCAGTTTGTGGATGTGGAGGTGTGGGTGGAGTTTTTGGACAAAGCTGAGTAGGAGGGGCCAGCACGTGTGAAATGGCCCCTTGGAAGATGTGTAACCTGGAGTTTGAGACAATTTTCCATAGCATTCGCCTTATTCACAGGCTTCTGTCATTTCAAGAATGCCTAGGGGTTTAGTGTCATCCAAGCAGAGATGGGCTTTCTGTGCATATGAAGTTATTGAGTGTCGACGTTTAATAGTCGATATGCAAAGCATTATGCTTCCTTATAAAACACGAATTATAATGTTTTTTGATGGTTACGTATTAAATGAATAAATATGAATTATAACTGTTGGGCATTACTATTAAAGTAGCTGTCAGGTGTGGCCGTGCCTTTCTGCATGCTCCCAATCTGTTTTTATGATTGGTTTTTAAATGCCCTTTAAAAAAAAGAAAAGGTAACCATTTTTGGAATATTTATATTTGGCTTTATACACTAAATATATATAAATGGTACCAGCAGAGGTCTGAAAGTGTACTGTACATCCCACCTGATGGCTATGCACGCACCTTGCATAGTGTAGTGTCAAGTATGCAGCTCATACTGAATACTAGTATATGGTAAATTTTGTAATGTGTGGTGAAATGTGTGTATGTCTGGTGATGTATAGTATACTTACAGTGCATAGTCTAAGAAGCCGGCTTAAACTTTTCACGTGACGAATCGCACACAATGTATCATTGCACTCAGTCGCGAGTTGCAGTCCAAAGGTGTTGAATGAGAGTAAAGTTCTGCATCTTGACGCTGTGTTGTATATGGCGGGTCTTGAAAACTTAATAAAAATAATAAAAATGAATTGAAGTTTAAAAACGTGTAATTATCCGAATTTATGCTAACTTCTTCATGGTTATTTTGGTAAAGTCACGTATAAGGTAAATAATAAAAATAAAACAATGAACTAAAAATTATCACGACGTTTCGGCCACAACACAAGAAGCTGTCCTCAGGTGAAGAAACAGAGCTGTCGGAAAGACAGCGCTCCAGTGAACACTGCTAAGCTTGGCAGAGTATTTTAAGCTGGGTGGGAGGAGCAGAGCGCCGTGACAAAGGAGTTTACATATCAACAGAAGAATTTAGCATTGAAGTAGCTATGTCAATGTGCGAGATTAGCAGGATGTTAAAGTCAGAAATTATCATGTAACTGGGAGATTAGCATGATGTTAATGTGGGGAATTAGCATGTAACTGGTCACGGAAGTAGCGATGTTAAAGTCAGAGTTTACATATCAACAGAGGGATTTAGTATATTGACGCGAAAGAACTGCAACTATCCAAATATACAATAAACCGATGTGAAAGAACTAAATATAAACTACGTCAATATAATCAATGTACTTAATATATTCTCCACTAAGCTGAGCTACTAACATTAAGTCATTTTACTTTACACTTCTATGTCGCAAAAAATATTATAATATGCCTCCAACTAATCTTTTTATTATAAACTGCCATAGGCAGACCCCAACATTGAATTTTAAAGGTTTCCTTATTCACCAAAGTTCATGTACCTGACGCCATCACAATCATTGAAGACTTGGTTCATCAAGGACTGCATACTGATGTACCCCCCTGGTGAGACACTGCTTAACCAACACATACTTCACCTGGAATGGAACTTTCAACAAACAAACTGAGGGCACGCCAATGGGCTCCCCCCTATCTCCGGTTGCAGCCAACGTTTTCATGGATAAATTTGAGATTGATGCCATCCAGACTGCCACTCTACGCCCGACCTTATGGAAGAGGTACGTGGATGACATTTTTGTCATCTGGCCACATGGCCGGCCGGCCGGCTCTAGACCAATTCCTCCACCACATCCATACACCCAGCCATCAGATTCACGATGGAAGTCGAAAAGGATGGCGAGCTACCCTTTTTGGATGTCCTAATTCAAAGGAGATGGTTCAATGAGCCACTCTGTCTACAGGAAAGCTACCCATACAGATGCTTACTTAACACCAGATTCCCACCACCATCCATCCCAGAAGAATTCCCTCATCAAGACTCTACACCATAGAGCCCAATGCATCTCCGACCAGGAACACATTGCCAGTGAACTCAAGCACGTACACCAAGCTGTCAAGGCTAATGGTTACTCCGACTACACAATCTGCAAAGCGATCACTCCAACCATGAAGAAGGATCCTCGAGCCTTTCAAAACCATCACCTTACCCTACATTGCGGGGGTCACGAAAGAGATCTCCAAAATCCTGAATAAACACAAGATCCAGGTCCAATTCAACACGGTACATAAAATCCGTGATCTGGTTCCGTCTGTAAAAGATATGGTTCCAGACATACAGTACCCGGGCGTCTACAAACTAAGTTGCCTCTGTGGTAGCAGTTACGTTGGAGAAACCAAACGACATGTCTCGGACTGCATCCGTGAACATAAAGCAGACCTGAAACACGGTAGGACGAACACCTCAGCTGTGGCAGATCATTGTTATAATTCAGTGGGCTCACGTGACATTGACTTCTCCAAGACGGAGGTTCTCTTCAAGCCATCCGGCTACCATTGGAGATTCGCCCATGAGGCCATCCACATATATAAACACAGACAATTTCAACCGAGAAGATGGATTCTGGCTAAGTAATCATTGGAAGGACGTAATAAACCATTTCGGGTCTTGATTGATTGTGTTTAACGGTGACATTCAGACCGCAATCCATTCGCTGGCATTGCCTCTTAGTACCTTTTACGCGACGGTCAATGGTATGGTTTATAGCAGATTGTATAATAATTAATAGTATAAGTGTAATGTTTAGTATAACTTATAAGGTAATATATAGTATCGTAATTGTATATTGAATATACAGCAGTGTGGTATACAGTAGGGTTAGTAGAATAATACATAGTGTAATATTACAAGTTTCATTATTATAGTCTAAAGCAGTGGTTCTTAACCTGGGTTCGATCGAACCACAGGGGTTCGGTGAGTCGATCTCAGGGGTTCGGCAGAGCCCCCGCCATGGAGGTCCGGACACACTTGAATTATTGTGTAAATTTGTGATGACACACACGGCCCGCTTGGCCATCACTGGCTGCAGATGATCATGCTACACTGCTTGGCCAATCAGCGCTGCGGGGAATTTAGTGCGTACTCAGTAGTCAACGTGTGACTGTTGTTGTCGTACGTCGTGTGATTTCTTTAATATTTTATCCATACTAACTATGTCGGGCAAAAGAAGAAAGTGGTCGGACGAATATGTACAACATGGATTCTCATGTATCACGGAACGTGATGGGAGTGAGCGTCCTATCTGCATGATTTGCAACGCCAAGTTGAGCAACTCTAGTCTTGCACCGGCAAAACTAAAGGAACACTTCTTGAAGCTGCATGGAGACGGGGAATACAAGAACACAACACTTGCTGAATTCAGGGTGAAGAGAGCCAGATTCGATGAAAGGGCCACTCTGCCTGCTCTTGGATTTGTACCTGTTAACAAACCGATCCTGACAGCATCGTACGAAGTTGCTTACCTGATCGCAAAGCAGGGCAAGCCACACACCATTGGTGAAACACTTGTGAAACCAGCTGCATTAAAGATGGCGAATCTGATACTCGGAACAGCGGCCGAAGGTAAATTATCCCAAATTCCCCTTTCAAATGACACCGTCAGTGACAGAATAGAAGACATGAGTAAAGACATCTTGGCTCAAGTAGTCGCGGATCTGATTTCAAGCCCGGCAAAATTCAGCCTTCAACTCGACGAAACCACAGACGTTTCTGATCTAAGCCAGCTTGCTGTTTTTGTACGCTATGTGAAAGACGACATGATAAAAGAAGAGTTTTTATTTTGTAAGCCTCTTACAACAACAACGAAGGCAGCCGATGTGAAGAAGCTTGTGGATGACTTCTTCAGAGACAACAATCTTTCATAGGATATGGTTTCTGCAGTTTGTACGGACGGAGCACCAGTCATGCTGGGAAGAAAGTCTGGTTTTGGTGCGCTAGTAAAGGCCGATGCACCACACATCATTGTGACGCATTGTATTCTGCACAGGCATGCGTTGGCAACAAAAACCTTACCTCCAAAAATGGCAGAAGTATTAAAAACTGGTGGAATGTGTGAACTATGTGCGAAAAAGTGCTCTGAGGCACCGCATCTTCAGTGAGCTGTGTAAAGAAATGGGCTCTGAATTTGAGGTACTTCTGCTCCATTCTAATATTCGGTGGTTATCCCGGGGACAGGTGCTGAATCGTGTTTTTGCCATGCGTGTGGAATTAGCCCTGTTTTTGCAAGAGCACCAACACTGCCATGCAGATTGCTTCAAAAATCCTGAGTTCATTCTCATTTTAGCGTACATGGCTGATATATTCGCAGCTCTCAATCATCTCAATCAGCAGATGCAGGGTGGTGGAGTCAATATCATGGAAGCGGAAGAACACCTGAAGGCTTTTCAAAAAAAGCTACCGTTATGGAAACGACGAACAGAGAACAATAACTTCGCAAACTTCCCGCTTCTGGACGACTGTGCAAGTAAGATCGAAGATGTGTCTGGAATCGGAGATATTTCTGTATCCACGGAACTGAAGCAAACAATTGCCACGCACTTAGATGAGCTTGCAAAGTCTCTCGACGGATATTTCCCTACAAGAGAGTCATATCCAGCATGGGTGAGACAGCCGTTCACGTTTGCTGTTGAAACAGCAGATGTCAATGATGAATTCCTCGACGAAATCATTGAAATTCAGCAGAGCCAGGTTCAACAGCAACTCTTCAGAACAACAACGCTCTCAACGTTTTGGTGTCGACAAATGAACAAGTATCCAGTTATTGCTAAGAAAGCCCTGGATTTTTTTATACCATTTGTTACAACATATCTTTGTGAGCAATCCTTTTCGAGGATGCTGGACATAAAAACGAAGAAAAGGAACAGACTTTGCTGTGAAAATGACATGAGAGTGGCACTTGCCAAGGTGAAGCCACGCATATCTGAACTGATCTCTCAAAGGCAACAGCAGAAGTCACATTGATTTCCAGGTATGTAATTTGTTGTGAGTTTATGCATTGTGTTGGTTTTATTCTTTGAACAAGGTAATGTTCATGCACGGCTCATTTTGTGTACCAGTAAAAAACATATCTATGTCTTGAATTTGAAAAAAATCACATTTTTTTTTCACTAAAGAGGGGTTCGGTGAATGCGCATATGAAACTGGTGGGGTTCGGTACCTCCAACAAGGTTAAGAACCACTGGTCTAAAGTATAGGGTAGTGTATAGTAACGCAGTCAATAATTCAATGTTGGGGTCTGTCTATGGCAGTTTATAATACGGGGTATAGTGAGATGTAAGAAAAAAGAATAGTTGGAGGCATATAATAATTTTTGCGACATAGAAGTGTAATGTATAATGACTTATTGTTCGTAGTTCAGCTTATTGGAGAGTATATTGAGTATATTGATGATATTGATATAGTTTATATTTTTTTAAATTATCGGTTCACTATATGGTAGTCATATAGTGTAGTGTATACCCAGTTACTTAATGTTAATAGCTCAACTTATTGGAGAATATATTGAGTACATTGATTATATTGATATATATTCTTAGCTCTTTCGGTAAAGTCATGTTGAAGGGAAACAAGAAAGTAATGAAATATATTGTATTATTTTATTGTTTCCCTTCAACGTGACTTTACCGAAAGAGCTAAGAATATGAATTACTGCAGTCACGAAAGCTTTAAATCAAAATTTAACCGCCTCTACGGGGAGGGTTTCCACATAACTTTACGATCCTTCAACAAACTCCGGGATTAGAAGGCTCAGCTGATCGAGTCTCTCACCTTTCTGAAGAGATGCCGCG